TCAATTTGAAATAATTCCAGGCGTCATCTGCCTTTAGATCCCTAAGTATGTTATCCCAATGCACTTCCCTAAGTAGTTGCTTTAATTTATTAAAGTTGGCCTTTTTAAAATCGTAAACCTTAGTCAGAGTTTTATTTCTGTTAAACCTTCCATTTAGTTTAAACCGAATTAGCTCATGGTCACTCGAGCCAAGGTTGTCCCCTACAACCATTTCCTCAACAAGGTCCTCACTACTCACCAGCACCAAATCTAAAATTGCATCCCCCCTCGTCGGTTCAGTTACTACTTGATGAAGGAATTCATCTGCTAGCACGTCTAGGAACATCTGAGCCCTATTATTGTTACTAGCATTTGTTCCCCAATCTATATCTGGGAAGTTAAAGTCCCCCATGATTACACAGTTCTTATTAGTTTTTACTTCCCTAAAAACATTAAATAGTTCTCTGTCCTCATCCAGGCTAGATCCTGGCGGTCTATAGCACACCCCAAGCACTATCTCAGGGGAGGCTCTAGTAGTTCTATTACCCAGTGTAATTATTGCCCAGACAGACTCCGTCTTATCCATTCCATCACTTATTATTTCTTTGCATTTTACCTCATTATTGACATACAATGCCACTCCCCCACCTTTACCTTTTTTCCGGTCATTCCTAAACAGCACATACCCTTCCATACCTGTACTCCAGTCATGACTACCGTTCCACCACGTTTCGGTTATTCCCACGATATCAGGTTTCATTTCTCGGACCAGGAGCTCCAATTCCTCCATTTTGTTACCTAGGCTTCTCGCATTGGTGTATAAACATCTTACCGTATGCTGTCTATCCTTTCTCGCATTACTTATGCAATTTGGTATGGACCCCATACTGTCCCTCTGCCCCCTCTTTCTTGTGTCCAATCCCGTACCCCTACCTATATCTGTGCTTATCTCTTCACACTCCTTTTCAGTGTTGGACTCAGGCGTGGAGATTAACTGGACATCTCCCAACCGTCTCCCCCAACTTCCTAGTTTAAAGCCCTTTTGATGAGATGAGCCAGCCTCCCTCCCAGAAGTCTATTTCCTTCCCTACTCAGGTGAAGTCCATCCCGCGAGAACAGCTGTCTGTCCCCGAAAGCCTCCCAGTGGCCATACATCCCAAAGCCCTCCTTATAACACCACTCCCTTAGCCAGCTATTTATCTTCACAATTCTGTCAGCCCTCTGCTGTCCTTCTCTAGGAACAGGCAGAATCCCACTGAAGATAATCTGAGCCTCAACTTCCTTAAGTGTCTTCCCCAGTCTGGCATAATCTCCCTTGATTCTCTCTAGCGAGAACCTAGCCGTGTCATTCGTTCCTACGTGAAGGATGATCAAGGGGTTCTTACCCGCTCCTTTTAGGATCCTTTTCAACCGCAGGTCCACATCGCGTATCTTAGCGCCCGGCAGACAGCACACCCTTCTGTTTTCTGGGTCCGCTCTGGTCACAGGCCTGTCTATCCTCCTCAGTAAGGAGTCTCCAATCACATAAACCTGCCTTTGCCTGGTGACAGTACGATCTACAAATCTATCCCCTGTTCCCTGTAGTCGTAACTCCTGTCTCTCTATTTTCTTCTATAGTCCCCCTAGTGCCATCCTGTGACCTCCCTGGGCCGAGTACTGGCGCTGTCTCCATCAACTCTTCCCCTCTCTCTATCGGACTAGTCACTCTTCTTTTCTTCCTCTGCTTCCCACCATCAGTTACCACCAGCTGTGTCCCCTCCTCGTTACCCAAACCTGTTCCTGAGTTCTAATTCCCCCTCACTAGCCCTCCTTTTTCTTGGCCTGCTTCTCTCGGTCACCACTGCTCTTGTTCTCCCCCCGACATTCCCCCCTCACAGACCATGGCCCCCGCTTCCACCTGCACCCCTGAGCATTCCCCTTCTGCCACACCCTGCTTCTGCTCCATTAGCTGCTCGAATCCCCTTCTGAACTCTACCAGAGTAGTTAGCCAGCTCCCCCTCTTTGCGTGAACCTTTCGCCCAGCCAGAGGGGAGAGAAGCATTTTTTAACAATCAGGAAAACATGATTATCAAACCCAGAGAAGTGGCTGGGGGGCCCAGGGTAGGTGTAGAACTTGAAAGTGTTTTAAGCTCACTTTTAAAAATCAGCTTTTTCAAGTTTCTCTGCCCTGAAGCGTTTACAGTCTAAGGCAGGGGTGGGCAAACTATGGCCTGGGAGCCATATCTGGTCCTTCAGTCATTTTAATCCAGCCCTTGAGCTCCTGCTGGGGAGCAGGGTCGGGGCTTGCCCCGCTCCGTGTGTGCTGTGGCTCTGCGCGGCTCCTGGAAGCAGCGGCATGTCCCCCTTCCAGGTCCTACAGGTAGGGGCAGCCAGGGGGCTCCATATGCTGCCCCTGCCCCAAGCGCCAGCTCTGCAGCTCCCATTGGCCAGAAACCGCAGCCAATGGGAGCTGCAGGGGCGGCACCTGCGGACGGGGCAGCATGCAGAGCTGCCTAGCCGAGCCTCCGCATAGGAGCGGAGGGGAGACATGCTGCTGCTTCTGGTTGTTGCTTGAAGTAAGCACAACCCAAAGCCTGCGCCCGTGGTCCCCTCTGGTGCCACAACCCCCTGCCCTAGCCCTGATCCCCCTCCTGCCCTTTGAGCCCCTTGGTTCCAGCCTAGAGCACCCTCCTGCACCCCCAACCCCTCATCCACAGCTCCACCCCAGAGCACAAATCCCCAGCTGAAGCCCTCACCCCCGCACCTCAACCCCCTCCCCCAGTCCAGACCCTCCCACAACCTGAACTCATTTCTGGCCCCACCCCAGAGCCCTCACCCCCTCCTGCACCCCAACCCCCAATTTTGTGAGCATTCATGGCCCACTATACAATTTCCATACCCAGATGTGGCCCTCGGGCCAAAAAGTTTGCCCACCCTGATCTAAGGCCTCAATCTTGGAATGAGCTCCAAGTGGGTTGACCTTCATTCCTATAGGATGCATATTGCAGGATCCATTGTCCTGGTCCCATGAACCTGTACAAAGTCCAGTTGATTTAATAGGGATGCCATACAGGTGGAGAGGTATATGGTACTGGATCCTGATGCAGGACTGTGGCCTTGGAAAAATAGTATCTCACTGCATATCAGAACATGATATGATTACTAGAGGCTTCTTATTGCTGAAACTACTTTATATGCCATTGTTTGAATCCCAAGTAGGTCTCAGTAGCAAGTCTTGCTTTGGAAGGTTAAATAGTACTTCTGCCATTTTAGTTTGTTCTTGTTGTGGTAAACCTGGGGGAAGAAAGGGGAAGGGTAAACTGTCTCATGAAGATTTATTTGTATTCGTATTAGGACTATCAATTAATTGCAGTTAACTCACGCTATTTACTCAAAAAAATTAATTGCGATTAAAAAAATTAATCGCACTTAGAATACCAATTGAAATGTATTAAATATTTTTGGATGTTTTCTACATTTTCAATATTGATTTCAGCTATAACACAGAATACAAAGTGCACAGTGTTCACTTTATATTATTTTTTATTACAAATATATGCACTGTAAAAATGATAAACAAAAGAAATAGTATTATTCAATTCCCTTCATACAAGTACTGAAGTGCAATCTCTTTATCCTGAAAGTGTAACTTAAATATGCAGATTTTTTTTTTTCGGTTACATAACTGCACTCAAAAACAAAACTGTGTAAAACTTTAGCGCTACAAGTCCACTCAGTCCTCCTACTTATTCTGCCAATCGCTAAGACAAACAAGTTTGTTTACATTGACGTGAGATCCTGCTGCCTGCGTCTTATTTACAGTGTCACCTGAAAGTGAGAACAGATGTTCGCATGGCACTTTTGTAGCCCGCATTGCAAGGTATTTACATGCCAGATATGCTTAACATTTGTATGCCCCTTCGTGCTTCGGCCACCATTCCAGAGGACATGCTTCCATGCTGATGATGCCCTTTAAAAAAAAAAAAAATGCATCAATTAAATTTGTGACTGTACTCCTTGGGGGGGAGAATTGTATGTCTCCTACTGTGTTTTACCCACGTTCTGCATATATTTCATGTTATAGCAGTCTCGGATGATGACCCAGCATGTGTTCATTTTAAGAACACTTTCACAGCAGATTTGACAAAACGCAAAGAAGGTACTGATGTGAGATTTCTAAAAATAGCTACAGCACTCGACCCAAGGTTTAAGAATCTGAAGTGCCATCCAAAATCTGAGAGGGACGAGGTGTGGAGCTGTCTTTTAGAAGTCTTAAAAGAACAACACTCCGATGCGGAAACTACAGAATCCAAACTGTCAAAAAAAGTCCAACTCAACTTTCTGCTGGTGGCATCTGACTTAGATGATGGAAATGAACATGCGTCAGTCTGTACTGCTTTGGATCGTTATCAAGTAGAACCCATCATCAGCATGGAAGCATGTTCTCTGGGATGGTGGTTGACGTATGAAGGGACATATGAATCTATAGCGCAACTGGCATGTAAATATCTTGCAACGCCAGCTACAACAGTGCCATGCGAATGCCTTTTCTCACTTTCAGATGACATTGTAAACAAGAAGCAAGCAGCATTATCTCCTGCAAATTGTAACCAACCTTGTTTGTCTGAGTGATTGGCTGACCAAAAAGTAGGACTGAGTAGATTTGTAGGCTCTAAAGTCTTACTTTGTTTTATTTTTGAATGTGTTTTTGTTGTTGTTCATAATTCTACATTTGTAAGTTCAACTTTCATGATAAAGAGATTGCACTACAGTACTTGTATGAGGTGAATTGAAAAATACATTTTTTTTTGTTTTTTTACAGTGCAGATATTTGTAATAAAAATCAAGTGAGCACTGTACATTTTGTATTCTGTGTTGTAATTGAAATTAATATATTTGAAAATGAAGTAAACATCCAAAAATATTTAAAATAAATGGTATTTTATTGTTTAACAGCACAATTAATCGCGATTAATTTTTTTAGTCACTTGACAGCCCTAATTCTTATTTTTGATCCTAATTTTTTCTTTTTGTTTCCAGAGAATTCCTATGCATATTCAGCTTATATAAAGAAATGACCACACAGGTAAATACACAGGAGTAATTAAACTAATCTCTCTAGTTTGATTTGTGACCATTTTTATAACGTGGATGTTCTTTTTCATTTCAGTACAGTATTCTCTTCAAGCAAGAACAAGGTGAGGAGATACTAACATGGTATTGTGCTGTTAATTTTTCTTACCTAACATCTTTATTTCCTTGGATGATTTAAAATGAGTGCTAACAGATTTGTGAAACATTGCATTCTCACTAAGTCTAAATCTGAGTGGGTTTTTCGGTATTTTTAGCTGCAGTGATCATGGTAAATAAAATTGGATTTAATGTTGCATAGGCATGATCCAAAGCACTCCAAAGTCAACAAAAGGACTCTTATTGACTTCAGTGGGCTTTGGATCAGGCCCTATGAGAACATTCCCAATCCATGTTACTTTTTTGTAGACTGGTTCAGGTGTACTTGAGAATGCATGGATTCATAGGCAAGCCCATGATCCATTAGGCTGTTTACTGTGACCACGGCTCCCTGGATTCTGTGGTTCTACAGCATGTGCCACAGAATCTTGCAGCAGAATCCCATGCTTTCATGAGTGACCGTATTCCCAACTGCAGATATCATGAGCTTCCTCCCTGACAAATTTTCCGTTGTAGTTATGAATTGTCAATACAAACATCTGCATCACATTTGATTTACTGAGCTCCTAGATTTCTAACACAATGAATACTATACGGATTTATTTTTCATTTTTGAATCTGATTGTTTTTGTTAAATTTCCCTGTTTTGTTTTGTAAGCTACCTGAACCTGCCACAGAATTTCAAAATCTGATGGACTGAAATGCCACAGTAACCAGAAGCTTTGCTGCAGAATTTAGGTCCAGCTGGCTACATGGTTCACCTGGCCTTGACCAGGACTTGCATTTTGCTATGGGTAGAGTCTAACATGGCGGCTGCTGTCAGATACCATGCTTGCTAGCAGCTTTCCATTCTGTTCTTTCTATTATGTATATGTTCTCGGTATGACATGAGAATTATAGGTGAGAGGGGAAGGTACTGTTAGTGGATTCCGCACATTATTAATGCTTCCTTCTGCTTACAGCAGGAAGTAAGAACAAGCAACTGCTGTGGGTAAATACACCTGCTTGATTCCAAGAAACACCATTGTTTTCTCTCTAATATTTGTGCTCTCTTCCAGCACATGATGATGCCATCTGGTCAGTTGCATGGGGAAAGAATAAAAGAGATGGTTCTGAAACAGTAATCTCTGGATCTTTAGATGATCTAGTGAAGGTCTGGAAATGGTAAGTGAGGGGTTCGATAAACATTGTATTTCCAATTGTTAATCAGTTTAACCAATGTAAACTAGTGCAGAAATACAGTATTCTTTCCTTTCTTTAGCCCCCAGAACATCAGTAGCTGTGCACTGCACAGTAAGTAGCAGAGCACTTTGCTTTGCTGAAATGGGGGCTAGGGTTGGGGAAACAAGCTGGAAAAAAAGGTTGTAAGTAGTGCTACGCACAAACTGTCTGCTTTCACTCTTCACCTGCAGTCAGTTCTCCCCTTTTGCTGTGCAAAAGGTAAGAAATGCTTTTTAAGAAAAAGAAAGGGGGGTGGGGAGCTGGAGGTGGGTGCAATACCTGAAATTACTCTTAATTAGTTTGTTTTTGTTTGTGTTTTTAACAAAAGGACTGATGAAAAATTAGATCTACAATGGACTTTAGAGGGCCATCAACTGGGTGTGGTATCAGTAGATATCAGCCACACAGGTACCATTGCAGCATCCAGTTCCCTAGATGCTCATATTCGTCTTTGGGATTTAGAAACTGGCAAACAGATCAAGTCCATAGATGCTGGTCCTGGTAAGATCTTGGTAGTTATTTGTAATCTCTGCAATGTGTGTATTTATACAGTACAGTAGAGAACTAACATACTAGCTGGGAGTGACTAGCTTTTTTTATAGTGTTACAACGGTCTCCTTCCCTTTGCAAAACAAGGATATGAGATTAACAGGCATTCCCTTGCATATATTTTACCAATGCACGCTATACTGGTATAAACCAGTGTTAATCTGATGTCTCTCTATTTGGGGTTGCACTGATAACAAGCTATTTAAAAACGGATTTTAGTTAAACTAGTGCAACTTCTAGGCGTTGACAAGGCTTTCATGTAATCCTGCTGGCTTTATTCACTGTCTCTATTGTGACTATTTTTTGTTGAGGGTGCATAAGGCAGAATAGAATCCAGTTATCTCATAGGTGTAGTGATCAGAAAGTCTAGTAGTGGCAAAAAAACCCCTATTCAAATACACAGTGATGGCTGAGATTTGCATACTAAGAAGGCCCCAGGTTTGCTGCAGGTGCACTTTGAAACTCAGTACTGTGCAGAGGGTGCTTGTTTATGGAATGCATGGCTATGTCCAAAGGTGCAAATAAAAAAAAAAAAGGTTTAAGTCTAGATAAGCCTTGACCAGCACTGAATTCCAATTTGGAGGGCACAAGATCTTAACCAAAGGATTTAAATATTATAGTAAGGAATGTTGGTAGATCAACCTTGTAGGGTCAGAGAATGAATGACTAAGCACATATGTAATAAATCTGTGAGGCACACAGCACCAGGCTAAGTAGATAACAGTAAAAAGTCACCATGTAATTCCATTTCAATGAATAATGATCTGCCCTGCACGCTTTCCTTCTATCTGTAAGTGCTTCCTGTCTCTGTTGCTGGGCCAGTTCTCCAGTGCTGCTTCTGACAAAGGCAACAGTTCTTTCTTCTAATGGTTTTCAAGCAAATAAGAGGATTTTTTTTTTTTTTTTTTTGCGCAAGGTCGCGATAGCTAATGCCATTTAACACTATTAATGTGCTGCTGTTCTCGGAGGATGCCCTAGACTAAGATCTTCCTGGAAAATGTCATCTGTGATTAAGCTGAAAAACAAACACCTTAAGCGTTTATTCTGTCAGCTTTTGTTAGCTTGGTGTGAATTTAACATTTGTGGCTGAAGTGCAGGGGAATAAACTATCTGTGAACAGGTATACGTGGAATTAACATTGTTGGCTAAAAACTATAAACAAGATTAAATATACCAAATATTTTTTCTTTTTTGTACAGTTGATGCCTGGTCGTTGGCTTTTTCACCAGATTCCCAGTATCTTGCAACAGGAAGTCATGTGGGAAAAGTGAACATTTTTGGTGTTGAAACCGGAAAAAAGGAATATTCTCTGGACACTAGAGGGAAATTCATCCTTAGCATTGCATATGTAAGAACTTCACTGATATTCTCTTCTGTTAAAGTATCATCCTTGTAATCTGCTGTAAATCACTCATTTTCTGATACCGTATTCACAACCTTAACAGGAACCCTTATTTAAAAAACAACAACACAGACTTCCTACCTACACATCATCCACTTCTAGGCAATAACCTCCTAAAGAAAGCACTTTATTTCTGCTTATAATTGCCATTGGCCTTTCCTGTATGTATAATGGTCCTTTGTTCCAACTTAACTAATGAATTGGACCAGCCTTAAAGGTAATACAAGCTTTCTGTAATGCTCTTGCTCTTCCAGCAAGGATATCAGACCATTACAGATACCAATTAAATCTCTGAATTCCCCTTTACGAGGTAACTTTGTTGATGGTGAAATTGAGGCATAATAAGTTTAAATGACTTTTCCTAGGTGAGACAGAAAACTATTGAAAAGCACACACTCTTCACTGTAAATTATTACAATAGAAAATCCCCCTTGCTGTACATCAGAATGAATAATGCATCTAGTAAAAGAATCAGGCAGATAGACATTAAGGACATCATGCAGTTTGAAAACTATCTGGAAAAGTCGCTCCTGCTCTTGCTCATGTGCTGCTTATGAATTTCAGTCTTAGATTTTCAGATTTTTCTGAGCCCACCATACTAAATATCTTGCATGGCAGATTATTTTTGATGTCATCTTGTCTCTTTTCACCTTCCCCATCCTCCCAATACAAAATAAGAGTAATTATAAAATGTGTAACATATGTATTGTTAGAGTCCAGATGGAAAATATTTAGCCAGTGGAGCAATAGATGGCATCATCAATATTTTTGATATTGCAACTGGAAAACTTCTGCATACGCTAGAAGGTAAGTCTTGGAATGTTTGCAGTGTGCAAGTTATAGCTTTAGTCCTGATTAAAATGTTAGTTAAGAAATACTTTAATATTGTATGATGGGTTGAAATGTCAGGTTAGTTTGTCCATCTTGAATGTTCACTTGCAAGCTTACACTGATCGACAGGTTTCCGAGACAGTCCACCTATATCCGTGCTCTGATTTAGGCACCATCATTTTTATGGTTCTGAAGTATGTGTGGGATCCAATCTTAAATCTTCAACATGCACCATGGATGTGTCTTAGAAAGCATATCCAGTTATGCTTAACTGGATTCTTCCTAACAAATCAGTTTAACTTTCCCTAGTGCTAGCAAATGAAGCTGGTCTGTCAATGCTGCCTTACTCCTTCTCCCGTTCTCCCCCCCCAACATTGTATTGATATTAAAAAGTTAGTTCCCATGGCTAGAAGAGGGATGGAACACCTTCCCTCTTGTTATAGAACGTTGCAACTCTCTCTAACAGGGATGAAGAGGCTCTCTTAAGTAGTTTATGCAACAACGTGAGGGAGATGAGTGTTCAGGAACCTTCCAGATTCCTGATGCACTTACACTGACTGTATTCAGAAGAGTTTTGGGGGGCAAGGGCAGAAGTAGCCTAAGAATGAGGAGCTTAACAATCGTTCAAATATGTAAACTGAAGAATATCTCCTTGCTTTTTTTGAGGAAAGATATTATCCTGACTTAAACCCCCTCTAATAATTCTTCTTACCAATGATAGAGTATTTACAGATCAACCATGCCTATTCTGAATTTCAGGCCATGCGATGCCAATTCGCTCATTGACATTTTCTCCGGATTCCCAACTACTCGTTACAGCTTCAGATGATGGATATATCAAAATCTATGATGTGTAAGTTGTTTCACAAGACGTGATGTAAAACTAATATTCTAAGAGGCTGTAGTGTCCCAGAACAGATCAGTCCTGTGGGAATTCTGCACTACTGCGCATATTTAATGAACCCCGCAGATTTCTAATTTTTCATACAGAAAAGCTTCTGCCATTATGTTGCTGCAGTGCTGCCCTTTGCCCACCAGAGGGCGCTGTGGCGATAGAACAAAGTTGCAGCTCCCTGCAGCGAGGGGTCATCCAGGGTCTGCATGGGGGAAGCTTCCTAACAATCTCTCCCTTGCCCTCTCTTAGGGTTACCATATTTAAAAAATAAAAAAAGAGGACACTCCACGGGGCCCTGGCCCTGCCGCTTTCCCACCCCCGGTCCCACCCCAACTCCGCCCCTTCCCCAAAGTCCCCGCCCTAACTCCCCCTCCTCCCTCCTAGCCACGCGAAAAG